TTTTTTTGTAGAGCTCTATTTTTTTTAATAGAAGTATAAAAAGTATTTTACTATCTGTGAGTAAATATATTATCAACTGTTTTCTATTAAGTAGGAATCTTGCTTATCACGCCATATGCCAAACAAAATATTTCTACTTTTCAGAAATGAAGATGAATTAAGATGTATCTCAGTGAATCCTAAGTATGCTTTCAATTCTAGGCCTATAGAAGGAGAACCTCCAAACTGCAAACCTGCATCTTCAGGTGAGTGTAACCTTATCTAACACAAATCTACATCATCTATTTCATCCAGGAATATCTAGGACTGAGAGACAACCACACACTCCAATATCTTGCCTAAAAATGGAATGTCAGACACTGGCCTAAGAATTAAGGTAAGAATTAGTTTCTAGTTCACTCCTAGCAAATCAAGCTGAAGATGTGTCAACAACTGTGATGTGGCAGCTAAAAAAGACAATGCGATTCCAGACTGCATCATTAGGAGGAGAGTGTCTAAATCAGGGGAAGTAACAGCAATTGCTAAAACCTGTCCAGAAAAGGGCAACCAAAATGATTAAAGGTTTGGAAGTCAAGCCCTATGAATGGCTTAGGATGTATGTATGTTTTAACATTTGGTTATGTTTAGCTTAAAGAATACAATAACTTTGTCACTGTACATTGTACAATGAAATTAAATGCCTTCACAAAACAACATACCCATCCCTCCACACTCCAGTCACCACTGCACAACCCTAAATGCCATAGTAATGCAAAATCATTGAGTTCAATATAAAAGGTTTGAAGGGGGGATGTAATAGCTTTGTTTAAACATTTAAAAGGATGTCACATAGAGGAGGGACAAGTTGTGCTTTAAAGCAGTGGCTCTCAACCTGTGGGTCCCCAGGTGTTTTGTCCTACAACTCCCAGCAATCCTATCAGCTGCTAAACTGGCTGGGATTTCTAGGAGTTGTAGGACAAAACACCTGGGGACCCACAGGTTGAGAGCCACTGCGTTAAAGCAAAGTTTTGACTCAACTGAGGTTACCTCTGCTGAATCTCAGTTTGTTCACATCAGCCCTTATTTCAATTTATAAGGTTATTCCAAATTATATTTCCATCTTCTGAGATACAAGCTACAACTCCAGTTTTGTGCCACTGCAAATTCAACCAAGATTCCTATAGCTTTTCATCTAAGTCACTGATGAGATATATTGAAGATTACTAGACTCAAGACAGGCTCATCGACCAGCTCCTCAAAATCTCTCTCTCATTTAATGATAAATCATTGATGAGATATTGAGTGTGGTTTTCCTGCTATTACTGAACCCACTTGATGATATATTGTGTTGTACGCACAGAAACAGCTTCCTAACCAAAACCCAAAACTTTGTTAGATGCTTTGTACCCCTGGTGGCACAGTGAGTTAAAGTGCTGAGCTGCTGAACTAGCTGACTGAATGGTTGGCAGTTTGAATCCGGGAGCAGCGTAAGCTCCTGCTATTAACCCCAGCTTCTGCCAACCTAGCAGTTCGAAAACATGCAAATGTGAGTAGATCAATAGGTATCACTTCAGCGGGAAGGTAACGGCACTCCATGCAGTCATGCTGGCCACATGACCTTGGAGGTGTCTATGGACAACACCAGCTCTTCGGCTTAGAAATGAAAATGAGCACCACACCCCAGAGTCAGACATGACTGGACTTAATGTCAGGGGACTAGCGGGGGGGGGGGGGGGGGGGGGGGCTTGAGGGGCTTCAGCCCCCCCTCCCCAAATTCTCAGGGTGGTCCGCAAGAAGGCCTTACTGGTACATTATTTAAACTGTTATGTTTATTCATATGATCTGATCACCATGCTCAATATATCCCATATGCATAGGGCTATTGGGATAATGATACAAAAGGTTTGCTAGGGTAGATCCTGAGCACACCCCCCCAGCCCCCCCCCCCCAAATCAAAATCCTGGCTATGGTCAGGGGAAAACCTGCTGAAATTAAGGAAAATTAAATCCACAACTTTCCCACAATCCACTAAGTTAGTAACCTTAGCCAAAAGAGAGAAAAGTTAAGCCTGTCAGGATGCATTCTTAAAGATTACACACTAATTTCTACTAATTGCTGCATTTGTTTCTCTAAAGTTTTGTTTTACAGAATTTATTTTGCGCTGCTTATCTCTGAGAAAAGGCTTACTTTCAGGGTTCAATAATTCCATTTCACCCACTTAGAGGGGCTCACTGTGTCTTACTTTAAAAGGTAGGACCACAGTCATTTAACACATAACAAATACTGTATTAATCCTATTGTGCAAAGTGTCAGGATTTTCTGGCACAGATACAAAGTAATAGAGTTCAGGGAATTATGAGCGTAAAGGATAGCTATTTGAATTTCAGGGAGCCTTTCAAAGATTTAAACTAAGCTCCTTTTATCCTTTTATTTACCAATTAAATTAAGAATATAGCAACAAGGATTACTCTGCGCTACAAATAAAGAAGGGAAGTCAAACTGGGGTCTAGAGGCAGCTGCTGAAAGAAACAAACAGAGCACATTGAAAATGGGACTTTGGGCAAAGGAGGTGGCTCTTGAAAATAATTTCGATGTAAGGGGGACAAAAAGGTTAGACTGTAGATGTGAGGAGAAAACCCATGGGTCTCTCATATTAATCAGAACATTGAGGGGAAGCGAGTTACACCAATTAAAAGGCAAGAAGAAATGCCTTGCACTATATTAGCACTCATTTTCACTTACCAATTTAGCCATAAAGTGCATTGCCACTGTTTTAGAAACTCCTCAGAAAGCTTTTTAGAAAGTGTACCATCTGGAAAGAATGAACACAGGATCTACTGTATGAATGTCCTAGAAAATACAAGCCATAGGGACAAAATGGCCCATTTCCACTGTTCTCTGCAATTCAGAGTTCTGATCTGCATATCACTGATCGCAATGGTTACAGTGTCTGTTTAATAAGCCAATAATTCTGCTTTAAACAAAACTGATAGAATTCTGAATCATAAAACTAACTGAACTATTCCTTTAGACGTGGATGTGGTCGCATAGAGTAAATGACATGCCACACAGTGTAAATGACGGAATATTAAATGAAGCCATTCTGTCACAACAGCAAAATGTAAACAAAAGCTCCATCAGCATTCACCATCTTTCAAATTGAGAATCAATAGTTCCAAAAACTACAATTCTATACTGTGCGTGCTTAGTAGGAATGAAGCCATAATGAAAACAGTAGGAATTAGTTCTAAGTAGATGTGTTTAGGATTACATTGTCAGGTTTACTCTTTTTTTGCGAAGGAACGAGGCAATTTAGCACATCAAGACCTCAATTTTGTTTTAGAAAAAAACCAACTTGTCATATGAAACTGTTTAATAATATAACTGATACTTACTACATATTCAAAATTATAAAAAATAGTAATGATGCACACATTCCTTGTATCACAAAGAAATTTCAAAATAGGAAACACAAGCAGTAACTGTTCAACTGAGTTGAACTCAGTTAAATATAGTCAATCCATAGAACAATATTGGCTGTCAAATGTGAGAGCTTTCCCCTTTATTTTCCAAATATAACAGTATTTAAAGGGGCATGGAATAAACAGCCAAATGCTACAACACATGGTATAGAAACTACACTGAAATATTGAAAGTTTTCTGAGACTGCAATTTTTTAGTTTGCCTCATCATAAAAAAGCAGTGTTTCATATTTCCTAATATCAAACACAAAGTCTTCTGAGTTGCTGTGAGTTTTCCAGGCTGTATGGCCATATTCGAGAAGCATTCTCTCCTGATGTTGCGTCCACATCTATGGCATCCTGCCTGCCATAGATGTGGGTGAAATGTCAGGAGCAAATGCTTCTGGAACATGGCCATACAAGCCAGAAAACTCCCAGCAATCCAGTGATTTGGGCCATGAAAGCCTTCGACAACACAAAGTCTTCTTTGGGAGAAGACCCTTTGAAATTGAATATAAGGGGGAAAATACAGAACCAAGTTACAAAGTGACAAACTGAAAATTACATATTGCCTATTAAAAAGAAGCAATGATTCAAGCATTGCAATTAAACACACACTAGAACTTCTGTATAGCTGCTCGAAAAGGCACCGCTTAAAAGACACACTTCCTTGTGAGCATATCTTGAAATGCTGCTGATAATAATCTTGTCCTTGTAATAATCCATGCTAAATAAATCCCTCCAACTCTAGAACTGATTGAACAGAGAGAAAACTCACGTTAGGAACAAAAATGCCCTTTTGTTTGTTTATATATTCTTGCCAGGTATTAAAAATACAGATCAGTTACATTACTTATGCTCCAGCCCTAGGACAGTAAGCAGTAAATATAATGATATTTATTATATTTACTCCTATGGTTATAGTCCTGGAAATCTGCTTCATTCTTTACTTGTCACCTGGGATTGAGTTATCAGGCGCTCCTTGAATTACTTTTGTGGAAGAGACACATCTATTTACAGACACAAAAAGGCAATGAATCTCCACCTTGCAAACCTCTCCCGATTACAGCCTTTTAGAAACAAAACCTTTCAAGACAGGTAGCTTATTAACACTCTTTATATTCATTCTTTAGAGGTGGCTGACAGTCACATACACAGTTTACACACACACACACCCCTTCCATTCCATTTTCCTTACCTCTAGACAAAAAAAATCCAGGTCAATTCCTTCACTTGTTGGAAAGCATGTTCCTTTAAGTGGCTCTTCCCAGAAGCTTTAGAAAGAAGCCGGCTGAGTTTAAGACACAACCGAGGGTCACTTCCAACCTTGCAGTTTGCAATTAAAATGGAGTCATGGCCAGGCGAGATCTATGCCTGGCTTTTAGGGGAGGGGGGAGACAATAAAGCCCCAAACAGGCCTGGCTTTAAAGAGGCAGGAGCAGCAAGCAAGCAAGGAGAAAGCCAGCCTAGGAGAAACAGGCATGCTTCATTCACCATGCGCAGGGCTGTTATTATTATTATTATTATTATTATTATTATTATTATTATTATTATTATTACCTCATCCCTTTCTTCCAAGCAGTTCTGAGCCACTCTCTCCTTTTGTTGGAAACTCTTGGTCCAACTTGCACAGAGGCTGGTGTGGAAAGCACCCTTTAAAAAAGAAAGAAGGAAGAAGCTCTCAGGAGAGAGTGGAAGCGCTGGCTATTTTTGCAGGCTGGAGCGCCTGCTCTAATGCCCCCTTCTCTCCTCTCCTCTCCTTTCCTTTCCCTTGAGCTGTGTGTTGACGCAGCAGAAATCACCAGCTGGAAAATTCCCCTTTTGGAGGTTAGAGGGAGGGGTTGGGGTTGGAGGGGGGGGGGGCGAAGGAGGAGCAGGAGGGGGTTAAGCCCTGCCAGTCAGAGCCTGCCCCCCTCCAGCCAGCCCCAAATAAGGCAGGGTGCCCTGGGGTGAAGGGAGAGCAGCACAGGCGCACCCTGCCCTTTCCACACAGAGGTGGGGGTGGGGGTGAAGTCTCTTTCCAGACCCCCACCCCCCTTCTTCCTTCCCCAATTGCTTGAACAGGATTCTATTCAGCTGCCCTTCAATCCTTCTGAGAGCAGAGCCCATGCCTGGCTACGCAAGGTGGATTCCTCATACCACCCAGTCTCTCTTTTTTGGGCACTGGCATCTGTAGGGAGGAAGGAGAGAGAAGAAAGGAGAGAGTTAAAGAGTTGTCCAAGGCTTTCATGGCCGGAAGACATACAAGAAGCACTGTTTGAATGTCAAGCAAAAAGTGGGTGCTAGAAACAATATCATATGAAAGCTGACTGGCACAACCTGGGGATCCCAACCAGACACAGTGAAGACATCTGCCCTTGCGCTTTGCTACTCTTCTGCTGAATACGCATGCCCAGATTATAAAGCTATTGTCCTCCCAACCCTGCTATAAAACTGCGAGATGTGGACTAGCTACAGGCGTCACATGCAACTCCTAGAACAATTCCATCAGCGTTGCCTCCAAAAAATCCTGCAAATCTCTTGGGAAGACAAGCAGACAAATGTCAGCGTGCTGGAAGAAGCAAAGACCACCAGCATTGAAGCGATGGTCCTCCACCATCAACTCTGCTGCACCGGCCATGTTATCCGAAAACGGAATGTTCCCAAAGCAGTTGCTCTACTCCAAACTCAAGAACGGAAAATGGAATGTTGGTGGAAAAGAGATTTAAAGATGGGCTCAAAGCCAACCTTAAAAACTCTGGCATAGACACTGAGAACTGGGAAGCCCTGGTCCTTGAGCACTCCAGCTGGAGGTCAGCTGTGACCAGCAGTGCTGCAGAATTTGAAGAGACACGAATGGAGGGCGAAAGAGAGAAACGTGCCAAGAGGAGTTGCATCAAGCCAACCCTGACCAGGACTGCCTTCCACCTGGAAACCAATGCCCAATGTTTCTAACTACAGGAAAGTATTAGGAAGAACTTCCTGACTGTCGAGACCTGTTCAGCAGTGGAACTCTCTGCCCAGGTGTGGTGGAGGCTCCTTCTTTGGAGGCTTTTAAACAGAGGCTGGATGGCCATCTGTCAGGTGCTTTGAATGCGATTTTCCTGCTTCTTGGCAGGGGGTTGGACTGGATGGCCCACAAGGTCTCTTCCAACTCTATGATTCTATGAAAGACTTACCATCATGAAGCAAAGATGTCTCCACTGAAGCTCTGTTTCCAACAAGCCAGATTTTCCAAACTCCAGTTCTCACAGGGACAGGAAGTAATGGGAAATTTTCTACACAGAGGCACAGACAGCAAAGGAAACACACAGGGATATTCACCCTTCCCTATGCTATCCATAGATAAAAGGTAAAGATTTTCCCCTGACATTAAGTCTAGTCGTATCCAAATCTGGGGGTTGGTGCTCACCTCAATTTCTAAGCTGAAGAGCTGGCATTGTCCATAGACACCTCCAAGGTCATGTGACCACTATGACTGCATGGAGCGCCATTACCTTCCCACCAGAGTGGTACCTATTTATCTACTCACATTTGCATGCTTTCGAACTGCTAGATTGGCAGAAGCTGGGGCTAACAGCGGGAACTCACTCCACTCTCCAGATTAGAACCTGTGACCTTTTGGTAAGCAAGTTCAGGGTTAGGGTTAGATAGACAGATATATTTGACTTTTCAAATTTACCTGTTCCGACTTACATACAAATATAACTTAAGATCAAACCTATAGAACCTATCCTGTTTGTAACTTGGGAACTGCCTGTATTAATATCACTAATTATTAATATTATTATTAATACCACCTGTGGAACTCTCTGCCCAGTGACATTAGATTGGCCCCCTCCCTTTTGACCTTTAGACTGAAACTCAAAACCTGCTTTGGGGCCAAGCATTCAAACAGTAGAGGCAGCAATTTAGAATGAGACCCAATTTATGTGAATGACAATGGATAGACCTGAGTGATTTGAACTATGTTTTAGTAGTTTTATGTTTTAATTGCTTTTATCATTTATTACTGTTGTTGGCATTGAATGAATGCCTGTTGTGAAGCCGCCCTGAGTCCTTCTCCGGGGGTGAGGAGAACAGGATACAAATATGCGAAATAAATAAATAAATATTGTGAAATATAGTGATTCCAGCTCTGAAAGCCTTGACAATACATTAAATTTAAAAAAATTGGAAGGTGTCCAGAAGAAAGTAACTAAAATGATCAAAGACCATGAATCCCTATGAGGAGCATCTTAAACAATGTGGTCTGTTTACCCTGCATGAGAGAAGGTTAAGAGGAGACGTGAGAGCCATGGATAAATATGTGAAAGGATGCCATGAGGAGGAGGAAGCAGGCTTGTTTTAGGCTGCCTTGTAGCCTAGGAGCCCCCGGTGGCGCAGTGGGTTAAAGCCATGTGCCGGCAGGACTGAAGACCGACAGGTCGCAGGTTCGAATCCAGGGAGAGGATGAGCTCCCTCTATCAGCTCCAGCTCCTCATGCAGGGACATGAGAGAAGCCTCCCACAAGGATGATAAAATATCAAAAATCATCCGGCGTCCCCTGGGCAACGTCCTTGCAGACGGCCAATTCTCTCACAACAGGATGCTCCTGACACGACCAAAAAAAAAAAAAAAAGCCTAGGACTACATGGATTCAAATGACAGGATTCAGATTCCAGCTGAACATGAGGAAGAACTTCCACGTTGTCCGGATGCCTGACCACTGTCTCCCAAAGCAGTTGCACTAATGCCTCTAGAACATGGCCATATAGCCCGGAAAAACCTACAACAACCCAACCTTAAAAACTCTGGCATAGACA